CAAAAAATTAAAACCTCCCGCAAATGACGAGAATTTGGCTCGTAAACTGACATTTTCAATCGAGAATAACTTTATGATGCAGACACAAATCGACTAATGTTTCTATGGGGTTATGTTGACAGATGCCCAAGTTTATTGTATGACATCTATGATCTATTTATTTCGACCACCACTTACCGCTAAAGCCATCTATAGGAAAACGGCGGAAGCAAAGTTGTACATCTAATAAACAATCCATTTTTCACCGCCCGTGATCATATGCTTCAAAAATGGATCGTTTTCTTCGCGTTTGATGAATTGATCGCAGACGCTCATGCGATTCGTCAGATGAATTTCTTTCAACTCATGCGGTACCCAAACATCGAGCTTCTTTACGAAGCCTAGCGATTTCAAATGGCCATGAACATTTTCAACGGATACTTTTAGAACGGTAGCAAGCTCCTGAATGCTCATTTGCACCAATGCTTTCATTTCATCGTCATCAATTTTGGAAGGCCTACCGGAGCGATCTTTGACTGAAAAACCATCACGGAATCGGGCGAGCCAGTTCTGATGTTTTTTTGACGACATTTCTGCCGTAAACTCGACGAACGCAACTTTTCCCTTGCTTCAGTTGCTTTCTTCCCTTTTTTGAAGTAATAAAACAGAATATTGCGAATATACTCTTCAAAATTCTCCATGTTCGAACCACAATTGCAAGCACAAAACTCGATCGAATCGCGTCAACTTTCTTTTTTGGTTTTTAGGTTGAGTGTCAACAACAAAACGCGCGTAAATATTTGACATTCATGTCACGCTCGCATACAAATGGACAACACCATCTATTGGAAAAAACGCAATGACTTTTTGAACAACTCAATACTTCATATCATGTATATCACTTCATGTATATCTAACAAGATTCTTTTATACTGATTTCTTTGCATTCGGTTTTTACATTATTCGAATAGTTTTAGATTAATATGACATGGCTTGTCCTACTGATCGATCGAAGGCATATTACTTATATAATATAATGACTGGCGCTTGTAGATTAGTTTATCTAACAATTGACTATAGGTATACAACACCTTAATTATGGACTTGTTCCTTTTTACAACTCTGACTTTTATAATAACTAGATGTCTATTATGCAAGATATCATTCGCTGTTTATATGTAAATAAGGACATTCGTTGTGATTCATTATTTTTATATATTAGTAATAGCTTGTATTTTTGTATTTGCATTGAAAAGGTCCATTGGTCGAAAAATATACACGTTAGTTAAATAATAATAAAATTTTTGTTTGCATTATTAAGCGTTGGCTCTTACTTAGCAATTTTTGTCTCCTTCTTATCCCTTTAATTATTTTGTTTCAGTATTATTATTATTGTTTTTATTACATTAAAGAGTAATTTTTAAAATAAAGGAAGGATGTATGAACAGAATGTGTGGACATATTTCATATATGATTATACATGTTTATGAATATTTATGTATGTTTACATATATTCATATATATTTATGCATAAAAAATTTTCTTATTTCCTGTTCCTATTTCCTGTGCTTTTCATTGTGTTCCAGCTTTACTCTTGATGGATCAGTTATACTTAATGCTGAAATTACAGCTAAAATACTGTAAATCGTTAAATTTAATTGCAATATTCGTAATCAGGAAGGTCACCTGAAATCGCTCTATAGAGCAACTTTAAACAACACAACTCATCAGATATAATACATATAAGTACTAGAAAACTATATATTTATAGATGTCCCTGAAATGAATGATATACATTTGCAAATGCATGTACAAATGTACATAGTCCCCAAAAGTAACACCGTCTTATACACCGTTTAATACAAATTTGTACAAATAAAAAGGATGCATTATATACACTTCAGTGAGTGATTCCGCTTTTATGCATACTAAAAAAACAATGTGTTAGTAGAAATCCTCAAAAATTACAATTAACATACATACATATATCGGGTGTTTCTTACTACTCTTTTAAGTTTCGCAGGTAAAGTCCAATTGTATAATAAAAGTTTCAGACAAAACTTATAGAGGTTAAAAAGATCTATTTATTGATCTTATCAGTAGTTATAGGGTTTAAAAAGATCTATTTATTGATTTTAATAGTTTGACCTTAGGTCGCCAAAGTCAGGTGAAGGTCACATCAATTTTTTTAAGTGGAACATGATACTTTTAATCTAATAGCTGGTTTCAAGAGCTTTTTCAAAACGCTTTTATAAAATTATTTTGCAATAAAGTACTTATCAAATTATGAGGCTTGAAAATTACAATACCATCAGCATTAGCATTACGCAAGGTATCCAACCGACAATTAAAATCTCTTGATAACATGATGATTTGTCAAGATCAAGACTATTCGAGGTTATATCTTTTATTTTCATATCTACGAAAAAATAAATTTTTAATGCAAAAATAAAAATAAGTGAAATAATTTTCAATGGTTTCGATGTTGACAAATATTATCCAGAATAACATTCAAGAGGTTTTAACCGTCGGATACCACGCGTAATGCTAATGCAGTACTGTAATTTTCGTACCTTATAACTCAAAAGTACTAAATAAAAAATAACTTTATTATAGTGTAGATCAAACTGATAAGATTAAATAGATCTTTTTGAACCCTACAATTTTTGTCTAAACATTTTTACAATTGAATCTTATCCTGCGAAAATAAAAGAGTAGTACGGATGGTCTGAAACACTCGGTATATAAGAGTATACCAAAAAGATTAGGAGACACCTAAATATCTCTGAAATACTATTGACCAAAAAATGTTATTTTTAACTTAAAAATAGATTTATGTTGAGCGTATATTCATTAATTAATATTTCCATTTTGAGTTTTTCAGATAAGCATAGCAGTCTCTAGTCTGTTCCTCCGCTTCACGGCGCGAGAAATCCTTTTTTTTTATAGTTGGACATACAGCCTTATAACATAAATATTTAATTATATTATGTACTTATATTATGAAAATAAAATTTTTTTTCAAATCTACAATTAAAAAATAAAGTATACTGACAGTTTCAAAAAGATTGATTCAATTCATTCTTTACAATAAATTCTCGAAAATTAATAAATTTTTAGCTACTTACTTGAGTTTCCCCCCTTAATTTTTAAGAATTCTCAGTTAATCAAACCTTTTTGTAAGTTTCACTACTTACCTTGATCTTCTCTCCCCTTTTACGTAAGATGTTTTGAACCTTATCTAAGTTTGTCTCTCTCTGTGAATTTGATTGCTTCGACAAAACGTCACGAAGATTCATATATAATTTTTCAGTATCGTTTAGTTTCCTCTCTTTATGAATTATGTCAGTGGACATTTTCAAAATACGTTCTTGTAGAATTTGTACTTTTTTAACAAGCTCGAAGGTAGTAGGATCTGTACCCTATTATGATGGAAAACATGTGTGTAATGAAACAATAAAATGTTTAAACGTGACAATAATTTACTTAATATTAAAGATTACAGTAAAAAAATCAAACTATCGATTAATTATATAGCATATGAAAGAACATTAAGTAAAATGGAACGATTTTTTTCTAAATATCTAAAAAAATCTAAAAATGCAACAAAAAGTTATACATATGACTTTAGTTTTTTGGTCACTGGATATGATGATAGAATTTTTATTTATACAAATTCATAAGAAGATGACCTAAATTCACGTTAAAACGACTGTTTAATAGTAATTCGGATGATGATAATTTCGTTCTAATTATTAAATTTGTTGTATTACAATTCTTATGTTCTGCAGACATTCCTTCACATTTCTTTTGTTTCAAAAGAATTTGTTCATCGTCGCGATCCTTGATAACATTTGTGAGGATCGGGTGCAGTCATCAATTAATAATTTGAAGAATTTTTCTTTTTTTTATAACTGAAAGGATTCATAAATGTCAATCAAGAAAAAAGTATCAAATACTAATGAGTAATTGGAGGCAATAAAATGAAAATGGAAATACAATCCATTAAAAATAAACACATCATGAGAAATTTTCTTTTTTAAAGGAAAAAACTAATAGCACATAGAAAAATATCTATGTCACGCAATAGTGAATACCAAAACTGTCACTCAAATTTGAAGATTCCATTCTAAACGTAAGAAAGCAGGTGCCAGATGCCAAATCATAAAATTAGTTTTAAGAGTGAGCCGTCTGCTTACCGTTATCCAGCATTGCATTCACAATCAGTGATGATTATCTCTTTAATAATTCTAAGAAGTTCGAAAATTAAAACTATAGAAATCAATGCAATTACAGATTTCAATAATGTCAGCATTATTAAGATCATTCGAAGTTGCGAAAAAGCATCAAATTATTAAATTGCTAGTCAATTTAACTCGTGATATTACTGTGGTAGTTTAGTAAAGTTAATGTTTCAAGATCGAAAAATCATTTCAGCGCGCATTTTAAAGGACTACATATGAGTATATAAATTTACAGAATCGTACAAGCATTTAAGATTCAGTTAGATCGTTTAAGGCATTGATTTCTATAGTTTCTGTTATCACATATATACGGTTCTTTAATATATTATAGCTATAAGAAATATATATGACAGCTATAAGAAAATCATAAATCTATCGATAGTTACTTAGTTTTATGATATAATAAAACTTATCAACTACTCAGCCCCCGATAGCCTTAAAAATCGTAAATCTAGTGATTGTTTAATTACCTGATTAGTAATAAATTTTAAAAAATAGAGAAAAAAAGGGCTACGAGCTAAAAATTATTATAAAAACAAAACAAGATAATGTAGAATGTACAAAAAACAATAAAAAAAACGAAAATGTTTTAAATTAAAAATTTTAATAAAAAATGCTAGCAATAGACGTTTCCATCGCGATCGGATCATTTTCAATATTAAAAACATTCATAATAAATAAACATTCATAATAACGGTCGGAAAATAACAAAAATATAATATATATATTTCGCTCTCTAAGACACGCTGATAACGTAAAAACAATTATCGTAAGTTCACAGTTATAATGTATAACAGAAAGGAATGTACGCGAATGATAGCTACTTGCAGTCAGTTATTAAAATGCTTATAGTGTCAGTTTGGTAAAAAGAATGAGTATCCTTCGATTACAAGTGAACGGAGAACGCAAATATGATAATATCCTGTAGAAAATTATATAACATATAAAATTATATATAAGTGAAAATATAGCGCAAGATTGAAATAATATAACTGGATATAAATTATAATATAACTAAATTATAGTGCTAGAAAAGAAGATAAATCATTAAAGATTAGCATATAAACAATGTAATATGTGAGATAATACTTAGCAAAATTAATGAAGGTTAAAATTACAAAAATTTTTATCTCTATATTAACTGAAAAATTTTTTATTTTAGATATAATAACAGCTAAAATAAATATGATATCTTTAATGTAACATACCTTAAGTTAAAAGTTGAACTAAAAGGAATTTCGGATACAAATAATGCGTTAAACTTAGAGACAATGCGAAAAAAAATAAAAATATCTTGTCTCCTCCGATGTTCAAGACAAATCAAATATTTAGATCATTATTAGTGGTTCTTATTTTTTTGAACAGATGAAAAATACATAAGAAGATTGATTGGTGAATGGAAAATCTAGTTTTTCTTGTTCAAGAATCAGACGGATCTCATATGTATGTACTGTTTCAAATGATCTTTGTTACAATTTGAACAATAAGAATCTACTCACTGATTGTGAGGACTCACACAACATTGGGGCTGACTATTCTGACACTGAAAGAATTTACAATTCAAAAGAATTTAGTGAAGCCTCTTCTTTAAAGATGTTATAAGACAACTGGTTTGTTAATTTAAGTAGTATTGATATTCCTTTCGAGGTTCAATACTTGCTATTAGCTAAAAATTTAGTCTTCCTATCAATCAAGACAATAAAAAAAAAGTCGTAGTTAAATTCAAACTTATTGAAAACGGTATTATTGGTCGCCCTAAGAATATTGTCAATTTTGTTAGAAATAACTCCATTCCTATTCTCAATCGATTTTATAACAATTTTTCCTTCTCCTTTAGTTTCAATGATTTTAAAATGGCTGCATCTCACTAAGATATTTATCAATGACCATCCTAATTTACTTATTATCAATGCAAGACAAAGGTAATGCAAAGGCACTGTCGTGCTTGATAAAGATTTATATATATTAAAGATGGAGGAGATTCTTTCGGATGTCGACACCTATTCTATTATTAACAGGGACTCTACGAAAATACAGGACTTACTGTGCTTCTTACAAAATGGAAGGTCTGTGGTTTCATCGATGAATTGACATATAAAAGATTAATTCGGATGATAATATTCTTAGAGCATATGGATTGACTAAAATTCATAAAGCTGATAACCCATTGAGAATTATTGTATCATATAAACAGCTCTTTGTACTTGTATTTTTTTTTCTTTTTACATAACATAATTATTAAGAGCATATCACAAGTTCCTAGTCATATTAAAGACAGCTTCTTATAGAGAAATTAAATGGCATGGCTATTGACTCTAATTATGTATTAGTTTCATTGGACATTGTGTTTCTCTTTACTAATGTTCCTGTAGATTTGGCATTGAATAGTATTGAGAAAAGATGGATTCATATATCCTTAAAAACAAATATTTCAAAAGAAGAACTTGTTACTGCTGTAAAATTTGTTTTGAATTCTACTTTTTTTACCTTTAATAATAAGTAATTTTATAAATAAGTTTTTGGTACTCCAATGAGTTCACCATTATCTCCTATCATTGCTGACATAATAATTATTTAGAAGAAATTGCCATCTCGAATTTACAAATACATCCATTATTTTATTATAGATATGTTGATGACATCGTTCTTCCATCTGAATACATTGATGACACTCTTACTATTTTTAATTCTTTATATATAAGATTACAATTTATCATGGAGGTTGGCAATGACAATAGATTGAATTTTCTTAACTATTTCGATTATTGATAATAAAAGAATTATTTTCGATACATATCACAAAACTATTTTCGAGAAGGTTCCTGAATTTCCATTTCACCCTCTTTATCATAAAAGAGGCATAATTAATAATCAGTTTTGTTGATAAAATATTTCTATTATCACATCCTCGGTTTCATAACAATCGTACAATAATATAACAATCTAGTTTAGTTAGAAGCTATTAGTCTAGTTAGAAGCTATTCATATTTTTCTTAATAATGGCTATCCTCTTCCTTTTATTTTTTTCCACAATTAAAAACCGTTTAAATTTTCACATAATAAACATACTACACACAAATCAAAGAAAAATTTTTTACAGTTCCTTATTAAATCTATCTCCGAAAGTTTTTCACCTATATCCAACAAGTTTCACTATAAGCAATTAGCATTTTCCAATTTTGAAAAGTTTTATTAAGAGAGGAAAGGACAAGTTAGAATTGTTTTCTAATCAAAATGTCTATAAGATCTCATGTGATGATTGCGAGGCTAGTTATGTTGGTCAAACCAAAAGAAAATTGAGTACGAGGATACGTGAACATATTTCGGACAATAAAAAAATGAAGTCTCTATCGGTCATTTCTGATTCCATCGTATAAACCTTACAATCACAATTTCAGATGGAATGAAATGAAGATACGAATCTTCATATAATAAGAGATTGATATCCAAAATGATACACATAAAAAAACAAAAACAAGGCTTAAATAGATAAAATGACACAGAATTTTTGCCTGAATCCTATCTATATATTGTATTATTCAATCTCTTTCTCCTTTTTAATTCCTTCTTGTCTTTATTATTCCTTCCATAGTTTCATCGACATTTCTATCCGCTCTTATTTTCCTCCTTCAATCCTTTCCAACTATCCCTTACCTTCCTTCCTTTGAATGTCATTTTTGCGAGTTCTATTTTGTCTTGAATATCGAAGGAGACAAGATATTTTTATTTCTTTTCGCATTATCTCTAAATTTAACGCACTATTTGTATCCGAAACTCCTTTTAATTCAACTTTTGACTTAAGGTATATTACATTAAAGATATCATGCATATTTATTTTAGCATAGTTATTATATCTAAAATAAAAATTTTTTCAGTTAATATAGAGATAAAAATTTTTGCAATCTTAACCTTCACTAATTTTGCTAAATATTATCTCACATATTACATTGTTTATATGCTAGTCTTTAATGGTTTATTCTTTTCTAGCGCTATAATTTAATTATATTATACAATAATTTATATTCAGTTATATTATTTCAATCTTGCGCTATATTTTCACTTATATTAAATAATTTTCTTACAGGATCATACTCATATTTGCATTCTCCATTCACTTGTAATCGAAGGATACTCATTCTTTTTACTAAATTGACACTATAAGCATTTTAATAACTGAC